TTACCTTATGATTATTGAGATGTAGTAGAGTGGTAGGAGCACAAATCATAGATAGAAGTGAGGCATATATATTCAGGGGCAGCACAAGACCCTTGCACTGGCCCTGTCCTGTAGAATCTCTGTAAAGAATGGAGAAAAAGTTGAACTTACTCTGTTGGTGAATTAGTGAGTAGCTAATGTGTATAGTCTAAGTCATGTGTGGCTACTGTATGGATCACTAATTTTAGCATCCTGTCCCAGTTTTGTCTTGAAGTGAAAGAAGGCAGGCTATCCTCTTTTGGCTTCCTCCAAAGATGCCCCCAGTTTGTTTGTTTTTTTACACATGACCAAAAGCTGAAAATGGGTTACTGCCACTGATAGTGTCATTGTCACATGCACGTCTAGCAAAAACATTTACACGTGAAACCAGAACATTTCACAGATATTAAATTGATATATGATTGGAAAAAAAGCTATATGGCACATATACAAGAATACTGCGTTTTGCATTGAAGTTATCTTGAAAACAGGAGTCATAAAAAAAAAAAACAGCTCTACCTCACATCTCACAAGTCATTCAGAAGAGAACAACAAGAAATTTTGGGTATTCCTGTGAAAGCAAGAAGAAGCTTATTGGTTACATTCTGTTGTGGACACCAATGCAAAGGTTATCTTTTATTCAAATATCATGGAATATCCTGATCCTTTCATTTTAAAGCATTGTTTGCTTACAGTACAAGGCACAGATTCACAGTTTTCAACTCATTATACATACACAAAAGCTCTCATGTGAGTTAGGTAAGAGATTTCATATATACAAAAAGATCAATGAACTTTGAATAAAATCCTAGCATTTCTTGCAAAATCTTTTGATTTTCAATAACTATTTCAAATAAAAATATGAATCAAATTCATTTGTCATCTTTCAGTCTTTTGAAAATATTTGATTTTACAAGTCGTTTATTGTTTTGTTTGAAACTAAGTCTTTTCTGTCATGAAGTTTCCCAATCACTACAATCTTGACTTTGTCAAGTCCTAGGGTTAACTGTTATCTTTCCTGCATAGTTCCATGAAATTCACTTCTTGCCCTTTCTTACTGTTGTGATGTGGGGGCCTCACATGACATAGCACTTGACCTGACAGTTAGTCATGATAGTAGTATTCACTACTCAGCTAGAAAAGTTACTGCAATAGTATTATCTTTCTTTTGAAAATTATCCAGGACTACTTATCATGAATGGATCAGTCCATTTATATTTATGATAGTAAGGAGGGTATCTGGCTTTTCTCACAATACATACACTCATACAACCTGACACAGCAAGCCTCTACCTTGAGTGGCTCTTGGGTCTTGGTTGAACTTTAGTATTAGAAAAGAGATGACTAATTAATCTGCAACACTTAATTTAATAGATTATCTTGAGTATAAACATGTTAAATTATTTACAAAAAACTTTTGAACCAAAAATATTTGTGCATCTATAGCAAGAATAAATTCTGAACAGCATCAGGTTCACATGATTTGTGGCAACAACCAGGATTATAGGTCTAGCTATTTCTGAGCTAAATGTAGATCTTATAGCTATTATAAAGCAAAAATATTCCTGCCTTGCTAAAAAGGAATATATATATATATATATATATATATATATATATATATATATATATATATATATATACATGCACATATTATTTATTATAGATTTTTACATGCGGACAAAAAATTATCCACTCCAAGGATGCATTCTTGTTTCTATGCTTTATGTGCATCTCAACTGGTGGGAACCAGAAATGATTATGGACAATTCTATTAAAAAACAAGCTGAATACATCCTTGTAGTGGCTAAATGTTTTGTCTGCATGTAAAAATCAATAATAATAATTATTGCTCTACTCTTGGAATTTAGCCCTTTTTTGAATTAATGCTGTGAACATTAGCATTTACATTATTTTCTCTCCCATTACATTTGGATACACACACATATATATATATATATATATATATATATATATATATATTATAAATTTGCTAATTTAAAAATATGGTCCCATCATTACACAGGAATTTATATGTTTCAAAAACAGAAACTAAAACTTTAAATTTAATTATAGAATTAAATTAAAATCCCTAGTACTGTTTCATTTTCAAGCAATTTTTGGAATAACTTATTTAGAAATTTATTGAGCTTATAGGCACATACAATCTTGATATTATTAGTTGTTAAGGTTATGAGAAATTCAAAAATCTTGATAAGGGGTGGTAGGGTATTCATTTTCATAGACAACCTGTGTATCAAAATATAAGTTACTTTTCAAAATCAGATTAAGTTAAGGTAGGGTAGGGGTGCCTGTTCAACAAATTTTTTGCATGTCGTCTGAATTTCTTCAATGACAAAAAGTTTTTTGGCATTTTTATTTTACTGTTTAATTTACACAAAGAATTTTTTTCAAAAGCATCATTTGAATATGAGTATGTCGTAGTTGTAATATTTAAAATCTATTCCTACAATTTTAAATTATTATTCCTACTTCTAATAATATCAAGATTGTATGGGCTTATAAACAACTCAGTAAATTTCTAAATAAAAATCGCTTGAAAATGAAACAATACTCAGGATTTTGATTTAATTCTATAATTATATTTAAAGTTTTAGTTTCTGTTTTTGAAACATGGTAATTCCTGTGTAGTGATGGGACCATATTTTTAAATTAGTAAATTTATAATGTTTATGATCTACAGAATTGCATTGAGCACTGTTTTTTTAAAAATAAAAATAACTAATAAGAACGTCACACATTATGAAATGGACAAAGTCTGACAATTATTTTAAGACATTTTTATGTTTAACATTCTTTTTATAGATACAAATATTTAAATAAATGCTGGTAAATGTTATTTAATACTGTTTATTATAAACAGAGCATTTACTTAAATATTTGTATCTATAAAAAGAATGTTAAAACATAAAAATGTCTTAAAAAAATATATATATATATATATATATATATATATATATATATATATATATATATAACATTCTAGCTTGATGGATGAAATATGGTAATACCCGGTGTATTATATTTGTGAGATTTTTACAGGCTATATAAATTTATTTTTAAGCATAAAAAATGTGTAAAACAAAAAAAACAGTTTATGATTTCTGTACTAACAAAATATATGTTCCAAAATGAAACATTGGATGCAAAATTATTGAGCTGGTAAGGGATTGAGGGAGATAACTCACTTTACAAAAATTAATCTGGTGTGGGTGTAACTGATTAAGAATAGTCATCCATTAGGTGCAAACAATTAGTAAGTACAGTGTAACCCGGATATAAGAGACCCGGATATAAGAGACCCGGATATAAGAGAAACCCGGATATAAGAGAGATTTTCTCTGGTCCCAAATTAGAGCCTGTGTTAATGTATATAAAATAGACCAAACCCGGATATAAGAGAAACCCGGATATAAGAGAAACCCGGATATAAGAGACTTCTTATCCAGTCCCGACAACTCTCTTATATCTGGGTTACACTGTACTACAGTTGTCTCCATTTTTTCTTATTTTTCAAACATTAATCACTGAAGCTTAAAAATATGATGTGCTACTCAAGAGTTTTAGGAATATGATCATGAAAGACAGATTAAAATAATGTTATAAAACTATACCTAGCTTCTACCATCTCCTTTAGTATGTATACAGTGATCTCAGTAGATGTTTTTAATGCTCTGCTATTTAACCCATAGTAGTAGGAGAAGAGACAGATTCATGCTTTTCCCAAAGATATTTGTGCAGGAGTAACTGCAATAAACTAGATTGGAATTTGAATTTTGCTTGTCAATTCCACTTTAAATGCTGACAATTGCTACACTACTCACATATCTCAGTAGTTTAGATTTTACAGAATTCCATGCAAATTCTCTAATCCTGTGGGTAGATAGGGCTTTGCAACAACATTCCTTAATGGTGGCACCTATGCTGTGGAAAAAAAATTTGAAATGTGATAAAAAAATTAATTTCTTTCAAATATTTAAATTTTATAAAACAAAAGAAATAAAATGTTATTTTATTTTTCTGATTGGCTAGGTTAAAAATATTCTATTAAAAATGTTTTGTTCTTGGCATTATTTGATTCACAGATCACAATTAATTACATTATTTCAATTTTAATTTGATTAACTATTTGATTTTTTTACAGGTTATCAATACTTTGCCAATTATTAAAAACCAGAAAATATTTTTGGATTGGAAGAATTTTTTAGGAGATAATAATGACTTATTGATACAAGATCTACTAATTAACCCATAGTTGGGTGGGGGAAGAGGTGGATTAATACCTTTCTCAATAGTATTTGAATGTAAAAGAATATAATGAACCCAAATATTTATCATATTATTATTATTATCTTTATTATTATTATTATTATTATTATTATTATATATATATATATATATATATATATATATATATATATATATAAGTTCACCCCAATTAAACCCACTAAGACACAAGGGATTACTGGGTGTAGAAGAATTAGAAAATTACTAAGGAGTGAGAACAAAAGAGAGATCAGGAGAAGTGTGTGTGTGTGTGTGTGTGTGTGTGTACATGCTCATCTGTGAGTATGTATGTATGTGTGTGCGTGTGCATGTGTGTGTTTCCTACTGTTCCAAATATTATTTTTGTGGTTACCCATGTTTGAGTAGCTGCTCTTTCTTTTTAAACAGTGTTAATAATGTCTACTGACCTGCATATTTGAGAGACGTAATGAAGATAATGTGCTTTCTCGAATGAACAGGACAGTAGATGTGATTCACACTGTTTAAGAAAACAGACAGTGCTTCTACTCAAACATGGGTAACCACAAAAATAACATTTGTGGTAGTAGGAAACAGTGTCAGATAAAAAAATCAATTTATTCCTGATAGATAGATAGATAGATAGATAGATAGATAGATAGATAGATAGATAGATAGATAACACTGTCCTTTTAATTCTTCTAGTTTCAGGTATGCCTATGTCTTTTAACCCTGATAAGGAATTTGCTGAAATGGAAGATGAATTTACTTTGTGGTGAGTTGCTACAGTTTTCTTTAAATAATTCACAAAGAAATCAGCCAAGATCACTTTTGTATGACAGATTTTACAGAGAAATTACAATCTTGAAATCAGAATTGAAAAATGATTCCTTTTATTGAATCCTGTAGACAAGATAAGAATCAAATGAACCTGATTTTGGCCTCTCTTCATTTCTTTAAAATATCAGGAAGAGATGCTACACATTGATTCTAAATCAATTACTTAAGAAAGATTCTTATAAAAATAATAGGTTGGCAATGTCTATTTATTCTTTTTGTTGGTTCATTGCTTTTATTTCATTTGTCAGAAAGAAAAGAAGCCATTTTACTCAGTGTTTAAAATGACTTTCTCTTTAATCAGATTTTCATAAAAACAAAAAAGAAGATTTATTTCAGATAAGACCAAACCCAGTGGTACTCTACTCCATATTTAATCTATATCTGCATTGTGACAGGTATTTTAGTCACATTTTTGTACATTTTTACAAATAATCTTTTCATAAGATCATCCAAATTTTTACATGGATACGAAAAGACAAGTTATTTTCAAATTTCAGGTATGTCGGTTGCATAATAAATTTTCTACAAACTATTTATGATTTTAAATGAAATGTAATCCTCAACCCCTTCTTGCCTTCTTCTTATTGGAGGGAAATAGATAGGTTGGAAAAAATTTGGTTTGACTCAATTTTACAGAATCTTGGCTAGTTATTTCTGGGTTCAATTCTCTTTGGAACTGTTCTTAAATTCATTTTATTGTTTAAAACATTATTATTAACACATTTCTTTTTCCATCTTTCTCTCAACCATTTCATCTACACTTTTGAGAATTTTAATAATTACTATCCAATTCACAGTGTCCCTCCAGATCACCATCCACTGAATTCATGCAATTAAATGTTCTAACAGGTCCAGTGCCCTGTTACAGAAATGCCAATTTTTAAGTTGCTAATTAAAAAATTGCACCGAATAACATGTGTAACGAGAGCATGGGAAAGAAATATTTATTTTCCGATACATTTCTTTTGATATGGGCATTGCTATATCCATGATATAACAACACTGCTATTTCACAGACAGAATAAAATAGCTGAATGGAAAAAGAATGACACATATGCTTAATTCACAAAGAGGCTTATAATGTTATATCATGCACAAAAGTAGATATATACATATATACAGGTGTCCCACGCAAAGAAATTATGACATACACTTCAACAAACAGTGTGTAAGAAAGGGGAACCTTACTTGTTATATTTCCCAAAGGTAAAACTAGGGTTATGGTGGCTTCTCTATGAACTGGGTTAGTCCATATGCTTTTTCCTGTAAGATGTACCGCTGTGGCCCAAGGACGTCCTTTTTCTCTGGGCTCTACATGGCAACTGCTCTTGTCAATCTCTCTTTCCTGATGTCATTCACTAGCTGTCATGTGATCCTTATGACTATCTCAATGAAAGGGAGATAACTGCCATTTGTAATGATTCAATGATTATCAAACAAATGATCCACTATATCCACTTCTGTTTTTCATTAACACTACTTCGAAAAACCATTTTTCTTGACTATGTAAGACTATATTTAAAGATTTGAGTTTTCTATATTAATTGCATATTCCTTTTGCTACAAAATTCCTTAAGTTTATTCTAACAATGATCACAAAGTTTTGAAATGGCAATAAGAATTTGCATTGTTCATAGTTTTTAGTTTTGTCATTTTTTTTCTCTGCGCTACTAGCAACATTTCTATTTTTTCCTATCAAAGAAAATTTATTGGAATTTTATTCAAATGTTTCTATTTTAAATAATCTGTGCATTGATGTCAAAAACAATTTCACTAAATGCTTGATTTTTATTTTTCATATTTTGTTTTGTGTAATATTCTTGCTTAAATATCTTGCTTGGACTGGAAAATATTAGATACATTAAGCTAATAGATGTTATTTCAGAAGTAATTTTTATTTTTTATATATATCTATCTATTCAAAGTACTTAATCCCTTTTAAGCTGCAGTCTTTTGGAGATCAAAGAAAATGACATCTATTTATAAAAACATGTTACCTGACAATCTTTCTTGGATTATTTCATTTAAATAAAAGAGGAATTAAGCTTAGGCAATGTCCCTGCTGTAAACTTTCAAGAACCTTCTTTAATATTCAATATCTGTTGCCATTTTTGTACTTGATTTCTTTTGGCAGGAAGTATTAGGAGCATTGAGATCATGAGACACATACCTCATTAGGGTCATAGGAGCAGCACATGAACTGCAGCCAAAGCAGTAGTGATGTGTCATAAGGCAAGATAGCCTGACAGGAAACCAGCCCTCTTCAGGCTGGTTTTGACTAGTTGTCACCCAGAGTTCATTCAGCCCTGCTTATTAACTCTTAGCTGTGGGGAGAAGAGGTGGATTCATAACTTTCCAAGGGTGTTTGTGTGAAAGTGAATGCAATGGCCTTGGTTGTAATTTGAACTTAGCATACTAATCCCACTTTCCATGCTGATAACCACTACGTGATGTATATATCCCAAAGGACTAGTAACAATGTTCTTAATTACTATATAATTTTAGTTCATTGATGATTATCAATTAGCATTAAAAATACGGCATATAATTAATTAGAAAACATATTATATACAAAAATATACAATTTCTTTTTATACCTGCACATATTTCTCTATTCTTTCACTGATATATAAATGAAAATATAATAAATTGAAGTTTTCTATCATTGGCATTTTAAATGTTGATCTATAACTGCTGCTGCTGCTACCTGGATTTTGTAGGAAACTAAAATCTTTGTCAGCCTATCAGGCTCAACTTACTTGTCTGCATCGAATGAAGAATGAAGTCTTCCAGTTGAAGTCTATGGTAAGTATCACATTATGTTTGTCTGTTATAGAACTGTTATCGGTGCATTTATCAGAAATTCTGGTTACAAAAACAATTATTTCTGTAAATGCAATATAATAGCACAAAAGTAGAAGTATTTTGAAATTTGATTTCTTGAATCAATTTGCACAACATTTATGGCAATTGCACTCTGTCCAAAACTAGAAAAATGATGTGACATTTTTAAAACTTTTCAGGTTAAGTCATTTTTAACATAAGTGCTATCATTATGTGTAAAATGCTTTCAGCCAACATCCAGCTGTAATGAAAGCATATTATCTGATACAAATCATTAATAGTTACATATAGGATTTATCAAATACAAAATCACCATTATTTGCCAGAAAAAAACATTTACTTCCCTTATCCACAATAGGCAGCACTGCCTTTGAAAAAAAGTAGCTAAATAGTTTTTTTTACACTATAATTAACCCATTATATAATTATTGTGCACATACTTAATGCTAAAAACATCTAATGTTATGTTTGTAGACCTTATCTGAACCACAAAATAAACTTCAATTAAATATAAGAAAATTATGTCAATTGGCTAAAGTTACATATCATCACTGAAACTCATTAAAATCAAATTTACCCCAAGGAAGTCAATAAAACCACTAAGACACGAGGGGTTACTGGGTATTTCAAGAATTAGAAAACAGAAACATTATTAAGGAGTGAGCACAATAGAAGAGTAATCAGAAAGACCATAGATAACAATAGACATTGCATTTAAATTTTTGAAGATAAAATTTAACTAGAAAGCTTAGAGCTGGAAGAGAGTTCCACAAGCGATAAGTGCGAGAAAAGGAACTGTTAGCATAGAACTTGCGATTACATCTTGCTAATTAAATTGTAAATTGATGAGGAAGAAGGTAACATTTTAATCCTGCACAAAGCACTCATACTCTGACCCTAGATCAATGTACTAATTCACATGTAAATAATCCAATCATTTATTATGGAAACTAGTTGTAAAATGAATATAATAAAATTGATCAATGCAGCAAAAAACATGACAGATGGCTTTTTAAAAAATTGAATTTGATGTTATTCTCTGGTGAAATAAGTCTGATATACTTCACAATAACAAAAATTCTTCTTTGATATCTGACTAGGTGAACCTTCAGCATCAACTAATTCTGAAACTTTTTGGAGAGAATGAACAATTCTCACAGCGAAAAGGTAAAGTATATCAATGCCCTTTTCTTACTTGACATAAACTATATGACAAAAAAATGGAAATCCTTACTGATCAATAACACATTCTGAAGAAGCTAACATCAGATTAGATGTTTTTAAGTTATTGGCCCTCATTCAATGGTGTTCTTTCAGAGGATTGGCATGATTGCATCTCGATTAAGGGACAAGCCTCGTGAAACAGAGTGGCTCTTGCAGCGTGTCTCACTGGCGATGGTTCGAGGTAATGCTTTCTCCATCATTGCAGCTGGCAGAGGATAGAAAAAAAATTTGTTTATAGTTACGTTGTTCTGGAATTGTCATCAATGGTCAACTGAAATTGTTTTGTTTCAATAAATTTTAGTATGTTTAATTTACCTAAAATGGTCGATAAGCTTTATTACTCCACCTTATTTGTTTACAATCTTGTACTATTTCTGATTATATCAGTTCACTCTAGGGCTGCTGGTACCATTAATCCTAGTTCTATCTGTCACAAGGCCAAGTTATCAGCAACTAAACTGGTTTCCTCACCAGCAAAGAGGGTGTCAGATACCCAGCAAGACTTGTCAGAAGGCAGATGTACCTTCTTGTAGGGAGTATTATAAAAAATTTTATTTTTACTATTTTAAAATGTTAGTCTTAAATAAATGTTTAATCATCTAGGTTCTTTTTAATACATGCTTTTTTGAGAGAAGTGTATTTTTATGAAGGCCAGATGATTTGTGCAAAAAATTGTTACATTTCTATATTTTTTTTGACATAGCAGTTAAAAGCCACCAAAATTTGTGAAGGACCTATTTCCTGTTTATGAAAAATTATTTTTTGTATATATTGACCAATGAGAGATGTAGTCTCAAGTTCTAGTAAAAACCAGAATAGGGGAGGGGGGACTTGTGTGCCTAATTTTCCAAATTCAGGTCAGTAGATACAAGGAGAAGACTTTTTGACAACAAGGGGACAAGGCAAATCAAGAAAGGCTTTTGACATCAAGAAGAGAGTATTAAGAAGGTACTAGTTACTAGCCAGTCACAGAGAGACAAAAGAATTTTAAAGTTCAAGTGAAAATTCTCCTGTGGTTGGATAACAAAGAATGAAAAAGAATTTAAAGAAACATTACCAAGCACAAACTGTAAATTTAAAAGGGACTTTTCAAAAATTACTATATGTCCCAGTAAGTGTTTTCATTTTTTCTCAAAGATGTTTGCACATTTGTTTGACTACTAACTTCTTGAATTGTTTTCTCTTTTATCTTTTTCAAAATCCTTGTCTTTTCCCAATTTGTAATTTTTTCCATTTTTCGATGGTAATCCTTTTTATCAGAAATTGTTATCCTGTCTTAATAATAGGCACACAAAAGGAAATTTTTTGTGCAAACTTTGTATTTGTACCTTTTTTGCAATTGTGTAATAAATGTTTTGTTTTTTTTAAATTTTATTCGGTGGTTTAGTCTTGTTTTGTAATTTTACACCTATTATGCTATTGCTATTCCTGCTAAGTTTATGTGTTTGATACAAGAACTTAAATTTGGTAGTGAATAAAATTTTTATAGTCTAGAACAATTGGGTAGATTGGGCTTCATAGCTATATGTGCATCCAGTGTAGTGATGACATGGTAAAGTGTTTCCTAGAATGAAGTCAACATGCAGGGCAGAAAGTTCTCCTGATGGAATCAATGGCCATGTCTCCATGACCAAGGTGAGCCTTCAAGTTGGAGTACATCAGCTGTTGTTTGATCTGGAGAGAAATAGGCTCTGCCAGATCCTCTTTCTCAAGATATGCTACTCATTGTTAATGTATGAAATAATGTTATAGTGTTTATAATAATAAAAATAATACTAAATTTTTTTTAGAAACCTTTAATTAAGGCCAGATTTAAATTTTTATAATTAATGCTGAATGTTACAGTGGGCCTTCATTGGTCAAATAATTGAATCTATAACGAAATTAGCAATTTGAATTCAATAATTAACTGTTTCTTATAATAATGTATAACATGTTTGCTGGTTGGTTGGTTGTTTACATTTTGCGAAATATGGGATTTTTAATGCCAAAATCTAAATATTTCATATGCAATTTTATTTTATATTTTTTGGCAATAATAATGATTTAGTGATATGAGTCTTACTAATTAACCCATAGCTAGGGGAAAAGATTTGGATTCATACCTTTCCCAAGGATATTTGTGCACAAGTGAATATAACAAACCCAACAAGAATTGGAATTCAGTTCTCCAATTAAAAATTCTAGGCCATTATCCATTACAACATCTGCAAATTCAAGCTTACAACACCTGATATTCCCAAGTGTTCACCCATCTAAGTACTGACCAAGCTCACCATCAAACTAGTGAAAATTATAAATATATGAGCTTAGAAAACAGCTCAAAAGAAAAAAAGCAAATTGTTTTTTCTCTCTGGAAAGGATTTTAGAAAGTCAATGAATTATTTTATTCACTTCCATTTGATAATGAGATATTCCAATAAGAAAGATAACATTTCAAAATCAAAAGCAGAAAACAATAAAGTGAAAAGGGAAATTAATAAATTTATTCCTTTTATAAACTTGAGCAGTTTAAAAAGAACCTGTGTCTTTTATACAAGGACTATGGCTACTTAACATCACACATCAAGAGTTTAAGAAAGCTGGATTAATAGATCATTTGTGGCATTGACAAACAGATTTCTTGGCTATTGTTAGATTCTTTTGTTAACTTTATGAAAAGACAGTCAATACCTGTATTGTTTCTTTCTTTGTGCCTATTTTACTTACAGAAATCAGCAAAATGTCTTCTTTAGTCACTGAAGAATTGCTGATCATGATACATGGGATGATTTTGTTCATTTTTTACATGATTGTCTCAATAACATTTGCGGCTATCATTTCGTGTAATATTCTAGATAAATATATTTTTCTTCTGGAGATTCTTAATACAACACAGTGGACAAGACTTATTTTCAGGTATTTTTTTTATTTTACATATGGACTTTTTTGTATATTTGAACTTATTTGCAAATGTTATTCTATATAGCATGATAAATCATTTTACTATTCCTTTCTTTCTTTCTTTTTCCTTTCTTTCTTGCTTCCTTTTTTTATTTATTTCTTTTTATTTCATCCTTTCTTTTTTATTTCTTCCTTTCTTTCCTTTTTTATTTCTTTCTTCCTTTCTTTCTGTTAATTAAAAGAAATATAATAAGATTGTCATTTGAAAAGTGTGTTTTCTGCTAATGATGAGTATCACAGGAATTTTATAACTGTTACCATCTTGTCGATAAAGACACAAAATTTATTTATCGGTTTATTAATTTTTATGGCATTACACAATACACTATCTGGGCTAACTTGTATTTCTCTTTAAAAAATTATGTTTACACATGCACATATGGATGTGCACACACACACACATATATTTATATATATAAAATTTTCAACAATATTTTATTGAATTGGAATATTAACAAATAACATGTTCAATATGATTTCCATCATTTGAGAAGCAAAGGTTGATGTGCTTTGCAAGATTCACATGAACTCATTGGAATAACTCCACATTGCCATCACTAGTGACTAGCTTGAAATGTAATTTTGTTGAATTACATTTCAAACTAGTCACAACACATTACATTTCATCTAGACATATGGTTGTGTTGTTAATGTTTCAGTCTTTCATGTGGTATGTCGTCATAGAACCGCATCCTGGATATACGATCTGCGTTTGCTATTTCGCATAGCAATCTTCTATGTCAGCATAACAGAATATCATCTTTGATGGTGAATATCTTTGTTTAAATGTCCATATAACCACTTTAAAGATGGCTGAAAGCTGAGATCAAAGAACAGCTCAATAAAAAAATGTCCAAATGTTGGACAATTTTTATCTTTATTTTTACCCAAAATTAAAGCAACCATACAAAGTTTAGAATGGCTCATGATCAAACATAACAGACATTCATTATCTGTTATATTTAACAGTATATGTTTATATATATATATATATATATATATATATGTGTGTGTGTGTGTGTGTGTGTGTGTGTGTGTGTGTGTGTGTGTGTGTGTGTGTAAAATCCTTGAGAAGGATCAAATGTAAAATAAATTCATGTAAAAGTGAAAAGGTTTAGATTTTAACAAATAAATTATTTCTGTAAATACAATTTTACACTCAAGCACTCTGACAGGCCCACAAAACTCAGAGGATGAACAGATAAGTACAAAATATTTATTTGTTACTTCTCTCTCTCTCTCTCTGTATATATATATATATATATATATATATATATATATATATATATATATATATATATATATATATATTGAATTTGGACAGCAATCCCTCTTTTATGCAAGTTTCATTAAAAAATACTGACAAGGATCTGTGGTTAATTTTTTTTTATACAATTTTTCATGTGTTCATATAATTTTTTCCTTTTCTGGATATAAATATATATTTTTATATAATTTAGTAGATATATATATATATATTTTGATTTAATGTTTCAGTGATGAGTTGGTATCATAGGTAAAAATCAGCAAAGCCTGTGAAACTGAATTTTTCAAAATTGTATTATACATATAGCATTATTCATATGAATTGCATGTATAATTTATGAATGACTAGCGGCATGGCTCGGCATTGCCCGTGCTTGATTCAAAAATCGTACAACTCATACAGCAATCACTATCACTTGACTTAAAATATTTTTGCCCTTCCTTACCTTTAAAGGAATGCCCTTTGCTGTGCTGATGTTGCTACATGCTTTACTTGTTGCCTATCTCACACTGCGAATGTTTTCTAAGCTCTATACTAAACATTAAATCTATTACGAAGAAATGAACACAAAACTATCAGCTTTAAAAAAGGACTCGTAATTGGAAGAACCGAATGAAAAAAGAATGTTAACAACAAATACTTTTTCACACCCAACCCAGTTCTGCAAAATCAGAATCAACGTTGAGTTTAAGCAAGTGAATGAGCCAATTGGAGTAAAGTGCCATGCAGATTTAAATTTTTCCCACTTGTGACGAATGCAGCTATCAATTTTTTTTGCATGCTAGCATGCTAGTTAACATTCATGTCAGTCAGCTGTTGGCTCTCACGCTGGCCAATAGAATCTTCCCGCCTATTCGTGGCAGTCAGCTATAGGCTCTCACTCTGGCCAGTACAAAATGGCTGCAAACTACATGAAAAGTGCTGTAGAAGCATGAAAAAATCAATTATTTCCACTATCGAAGGGAGTTGGGAAATGCAACATTGGTCTTGGCCTTCCCACTAACTTGGAGCATGTGCATGTAAATTTTGGTGCAAATCTGTCAAAAATTGCAGCCATGCATTCATTACACACACACACACACACATATCCTGCCATTTATAGATAGAGATATTCCAAACCTGGAACTTCATTGTCCCTACTGCCTAAACCTACTTTTAATGATAGGTAGATTTAATTACTTTTGGGGCTATTTTTATATCTTATACTGTTTTATATTTCACATTGTCTGGACCAACATTTATTTCTTGATATAGAATTATACTTTTATTCAGTTGTCTGTTAACAAAAATAACCATTTGTTAAATATAATGTAGTTGAAATAAAATTCATAAATTTATTTATTTATTTATGATTAGGTAAGGAATGTTAAATAATAGTTTCATGCTATTATTTTTTAGTGGCAGTGTATTTGGCTCAGACGTTCTGAGGCTGAACTTTAAGGTCTGTTTTTTTTTTTTAAGCATTTCACCCCAAACAAGGCAAGAGTGCCACTAGCATGCAAGGGGTTACAGAGAATGGGAGCAAGATTAAAGAGGCATGATAGAGGAAAGGATGAAGAGGAGAATGAGGAATAGATCAAGGCATCTGGAGATGTTGATTGACGTTGCATTTGAATATTTGGAGATTATAGCTATCAGGGAAGCAATTAAGAGGAAGGGAGTTCCACAGAGGGGAAGTCCGAGACATGAAACTGTTGGAGTAGAAGAGACAGCTACATTTAACTTTTTCAACAGTGAAAGGGTGGGATTGAGATGCCAAATTAGTAGCACGTTTAAATTCATGCACTTTGGAAACCAGCTGGTAGACTAAATAAGGAAGTCATTTTTAATTGGTTAAAACTAGTGTGGGAATGTTAGACAGATAGAAAGTGATTTTAGTCAGTTAGGTTTTTACATGTCATACACAATAGACATGGTTATTTCGTGTCTCAGGTAACTTTCTCCCCAGTGGGTTGATAGTGCAACCCAACTGGCTAGTTAAAAATGTACACATCAATGTGTCTAATAAAATAGATGAGTTTAAAATCCCTTTTGTTAATGTCTTTTCATCTCTGGATTCCAAAAACATTTCAACACCTGGTGGGAGAAGACACTCGAGAAAGAAGAATGCAGCTTTGTTGTGGAATTGACCCAGTGGCCAAGACCTCCCCAGAATGAAGGGGGTATACAATACATTGAGATTCCACAGCTGGACAAAAAAAACCCACTTTTCCAACTCCTATCATGATCGACTTGACTATGCTATGTGGAAAACCACAATGTAGTGAGCCACCCTAATTTTCTTCATATTCTATTGATGAGATGTAAATTTCTTCCCACATCCTGCTGCTTTGTGGAAGCGACTCCCAAAACGATGCTTCTCAATAACTACAATCTTAAACTGTTCAAGTCTAGTGTTAACCATTATCTTCCCTACATATCCCTATAAACTGTGCTTCTTACTCTGTAACCCTCTGAGGGGTTTTTGTGCTTTGTATCAGGTGAACATTATTGTAAAAAAATCCTTCTGTTTTTTCTGCTATTTTTGCTATCCACTGAGCACCAATCAACCAACCTTTTACTTCACCTATTATCATTTTTTCTGGCTTTGCTTCCTGCCATTTTTATGTCTTTTAATCAGTTCCTTGATAAGTTTTCTTGCCGTCTTCCATGAATTATTTTTCTCTCTCTGAGAAAATAGCAACTTTTTATTGTCCCTACAATTTTTTTAGGAGAGAATGATTTATTTATACTATTCACATTGTTCAGACTGCTGTCCTCATCTTTGTTGCCATATTCTTGATGTTTTGGCCATTGTACACCCTGGTCTTCTTCAGGTGACATTTGTTAGCTCTGTCCGTTAATCTTTTGATGTTAAAGTTTGCTTTCAAGTAATTTTATTCATTTCCATTTCCTCAGACATTATACATTCCTTACATACTTTGTATGTTAAGCACATTCAAAAGAGGCTTTCCGTTATATCAATATTTTTTATTAAATGCTTTTCACCCTATATATTATTTTATTTCATTTCTATGATCTTTCTTTAATGTTTATTGCTTGTCCTAAGTATTTGTATTCTTGGAATTTTCCCAGTTCTTCATCTTCTATTTATATGGTCTTTTTCAGAACCTGACAACTGAACATTACTTTTGCTTTATTTCTGTTCATTTTTTTTTTTTTATTCCTGTTCAATTTTACTACCTAAAAATTTAACTCAAGCTTTGTTTTGATTTCTAACCTTTGACAAAAATTGTTCAAAACAAATCTGGGTTATCAAAGTTATGCCATTTGCATAATAACTTCAGACAGACTATAATTACTTTACTAACTTTTTAAAGTAGCTTTCTTTTCTAAATATTGTGTAAATAGTTATGTTAATTCTTTGTAATTGTGCCATTTTCACCTGCTCTTTTCTACATTTTGAAGTTCAAACATTATTTCATTTGTTGTTATTGGTACTACTTTGCTGTAGTGATTGTTTTTATGGATTATTTTTAGGATTTTAAGAATTATTTTCATGAAGTTTTTAAAGATTTTATGAATTATTTTCATCGATACTTTTGAAAATTTTATTATTTTCAAGGATTATTTTGAGGAGTTTAGGAATTATTTTCATGGATAATTTGGAGGATTTTATAAATTATTTTCATGGATTATTTTGAGGATTTTATTAATTATTATCATGAATTATTTTAAGAATTATATTATTCATTTTCATGGATTATTTGAGAATTTTATTAATTATTATCATGGATTATTTTGAGGAGTTTATTAATAATTTTCATGGGTTATTTTGAGGATTTTATGAATAATTTTCATGGATTATTTGGAGGAGTTTATAAATTATTTTTATGGATTATTTTGAGGAGTTTATTAATTATTTTCATGGATACTTTTGAGGATTTTATGAATTTTTTATGGATTATTTTGAGTGTTTTATGAATAGTTTTCATGGATTACTTTGAGAATTTTATGAATTATTTTCATGGATTATTTTGAGGGTTTTATGAATTATTTTTATGAATTATTTGAGGGTTTTATGAATGTTGTAGAGTAGCTGAACACTCCCACAACATGGACTGGGCTAAGACTATTTAAACAGCTTTCTCTCTTACTGAGAGAGAGGAGTTAACAATCAACTGTTTATTACATTACTCTGTGTTCTGAACTGTGTACCATATTATTCTCCAGAATAAACAAATTCTTATTTTCTATATGTGTTAGTCTTTCCTATTTGCAGCACAACAATAAATTATTTTCATGGATTATTTTGAGGTTTTTTTTAATTATTTTCTTGGATTATTCACAGATAACATAATGAGCATCAAACAGATATATGCGGATACAACAAATGAAACAACTGATGAGAAAACAGGAATAGTGTCTCGGCATGAATGTCCAGATGGCAACATTTTGACAACTGTAGGTAAGTGGTCACTATACATTTCCTCATTCAAACTGTTGTCCTTATCCTAGTTTTTATGACAGCAATGTTTTATCCCTTTTTCTCATCAGGCTTATTATTATTTTTGTTAATTTTCTTGATCCCTGGTGTAGATTATTCTCATTCTGTTCTCTATACTAGGGATAATATCTTGTATGAACCAATTCTCCATGGGTAGCCATTTCTTTTCACACCACTGAATTGTTTGACCCAGGAACTGAATTCATGACCTACTCTTAAACAATACTTATATTCACAACAATATTCATAGGACAACCAAAAGGTGGAATTTTGGAGCCTTAAAGCTAATGTTTGTTCTTTTCTGATCTAGGTATTTGATAAATTATATTTCAATGAAACTGTCAAAACTAATTTTGCTATGTACAAATACAAAAAATGATAATATGCATACATTCTTTTTATCACCTGTATTTGTTCAGATTGTCCTGTGATAAAAAATTGCATTTTCAATGCTTCATGATCACAAATTCTGTAACCCCTTAATTTTGAAGAGGCACTACATCTACTGCAGCCGCAGCAGCAGTGGTGTTTCCTAGGTAAGACAGCCTGGTAGGACCCAGCCCTCTCCAAGCTGATTTGAAGTTTTCCTTCTCCTAGACTGGTTGCCAATCAAGGCTATAGGACCCAATCAGTCCTGCTATATTACCCATAGCTGGGGAAGAAGAGAAGGATTCATACCTTTCCCAAGCATATTACCACATAATTGAAGGTAATGAACTCAAATGGAATTCAAACTCGCCTGATTCTTCAATCTAAGCCACTATCCATTACTCCACTGGGCCTCCATCAAATGCTTACCTTTTTAAAAACTCATTATTGATAACTATTAAAATGCAATAGATGAAGAAATTATTTCTTTCCATAACAGATTTTTTAATAAATAATTACCAAAGATTTGTGCTAAACAAATTTAGTAGTTATAAAAATATTTTATAGTCAAAAAAATACCTTCCAAAAGCTAAGCAAGGTATTATGAAACAGGAAGATTTCATTAGGAACAGAGAAAAGTGTACTAAAGTCCTATGAAATATCAGTCCTCCTCCATGGCAATGAATGCTAGACAATCTCCTCACAGATGAAGAAGAGGTTTGAGGCAACAGAAATGTGGTTCTACAGAAGGATGCTGAGAATCCTGTAGCTTGAATATGTAAGTAACGAGGAAGTTTTAAAGAAAATAGAAACAAATAGGACACTTATACTTAGAATCAGAAAGAGAAAATTAAATTGAAATTTCTAGGACATGTATTGAGAAAAGAGGGCTTAAAGAATCTGACACTCTGTGACGTCACCCCATCTGTCTCTGCACTGTCGCCGTCCTATCCTGTCCTGTGACGACCAATGTGACTTGGTATTGGTCATGGCACCAAATGTGACGTTCTAACCTTTTGCTGATTCAGATGGGAATCTGGTTAGATTCGGCATCAGCCTTGTTGTTCCCAGCTCGCCTCCAACGTCTTGTTACCGAAGTAACTGCTTTGATTACTAGTCTAACCTACCCACGTTGTGATTTGATCTTAGGTAGACAAAATCAATCAGTCGCCGGGCCGCAATGCAAGTCGAGTCTGAACAAGGTAATACCGCGCAAGTATATGTAAAAGAAAATAAAGTAACAACTTGAAAAGTTCAAATGTGTTAAAAAAGAATAACAATATTTTATATCTGGTTGCTGAATACAGGACTGCGTCTTTCTTCCAACCCGCTTATATGGATACGTGACACTTTGTGTTTGTTAGGTGAGTCTTAACATTTTAAGTCGTTTTTTCAAGAAACTGGTTTTTGGTGTATCTTCAGGTGATATTCGTAAAACTTGTTTTGGTGGTGTGAGTCTAAGTCATTCTTCAAAAAATAAATTGTTCTTGGTTAGAAGTTGAGGTCGAGAATGCGTGGATCTTAAGTCAGCTTTCTGCGAGGTGGGTCTCAGAGCTCACAGCTCAACTCTGCAACTGCCTTCCTGTCTGTGACTCCAACTCAACTCTTGCCTGTCTGTCTCAACCCCTTGCCTGTCTCTGGCTCAACTCCTTGCCTGTCTGTCTCAACCCCTTGCCTGTCTGTCGTCTACTCGCTGTGACTCTGCTTATATGGATGCTGACCAAAACCGGGGTGGGCCTGTCGGGGTTTGAGGTTCCTTGATAATTCTAAATCCGCATCAAGGACTTTCTTTGTTTTCAGTCAGAAAAATTTATTACTTTCCATTTTTGGAAGTCCTTAATTTCTAGTTTAAGGGAATCATCCTCCCAAATTCTTCCTTTCTCATATTGGTATCTCACACCAATCCCCTCAGAGGGCATCAACAGGCTCCCCTCTCTCTCACAGTGGCATCTCACACCAATCCCTTCAGGGAGCGTCAACAGGCCTCCCCTCTTTCTTCATAGTTTACCTTCGCCTACCGCTCACACCACCCTTCAGCCAATGAATGCTCAGCAGCATGGGTGTTTGCAATTATTGCTCAAAGGAAAAAAAAATTATCTTCCTTTTTTTTTCTTTTCTTTCTTTTCTTCTTCCTGACAACAAACCCTTACGACTCTTATCTTAACCAAACGTTGTCTGGAACTCGTCAATGAGACCTTCGCCAAACAAGCACTGAGGCTGGTCAATGATCTTCCGCACCCTGTCACCAATTATCCGTTCTGATAAAATAATTTTTCTATCATGGCCAGCTCTGACACAAAACAGGTGCTCTTCTCAAATGATATCTCTGCAGATAGTTAATAGTTTAATCTTTCCTTCTTTGTACTTTGTGGGTGGTCCAGCGGACATTTTTCTCAGTCAGTGCATGACCTAATTAATTTTTTATCTCTTAACATTCTGCCTTGTAGGCCACTTGACCAACCTGAAATTTTCATTATTGTCATGGGCAGACGGCTATCTTTTATTTGCTCTGTTGTAACATAAATCAAATCAAATCCTACAGAGCCACGACCTTACTTTCTTCACTAATGAAAATAAAATCTTTACCACTTTTCTTTGTTAGAAAAATAACATCGCTCAGTGTCTTTTCGTGATAGCTTCTTATTATTCTAAATTAATTCTCGGCTTTTTTTTTTTTCATGCAACCCTAAATAGTGTCACACTCACAGGACATATTGAAAGCAAGAGGAGAACATAGGGAATATATTATCTAATGAGCTTCTGTAAAACAAAAAGACAAACCTTACTAAGAGCTACAAAGGATTGGTAGTTGTGGAGGCCATGATCCCCCATGACCTGAAGGTACAAGGCATATAGAAGAAGACAAAATGTTTAAAGTCTTTTCAGTAATAATAGAAAAATTATTACTGGTTTTTAACAGCAAATCCTGGTTTGTGGATATATGAAGTCTATGCAGTTTGTTAAAGGCTAACAAAAAATTGTCTCATGTGCGTGTGTTGCAATTCTGACAAAATTAACAATGGAAATAGCAACTTTTTATTGTCCCTACAATTTTTTTATGAGAGAATGATTTAGTTATACTATTTACATTGTTCATCTCTGTTGTCATATTCTTGATGTTTTGGCCATTGTACACCCTGGTCTTCTTCAGGTGATATTTGTTGGAATTTCAAACTGAACCCATCATTTAGTCCACAGGGGTAGATTGTTCTAATTCCACATACCATCAGTGAGTGAATTTGGGGAACTCATAAAAAAGTGACTTATATGCAAAAGTCATTCAACCAAAGTGTTGTGAGTTCAATATCTCATCACAGCAGAGGGAAGAAAAACTTGGAGTGTTGAGTTATCAAGGGGAATTAACTGAAACTGAGATATCCAAACACATAGCACATGGGAAAACTTTTCTTGAACCCTCTTTCCCTAATTAAAAATCTTGCAAATTTCAAATATTTTTCGATACAGTTTTCACTTTATAGGCCATTTCGTAACTGTGTCCCCTACTGCTATATAGGAGAACCAATATTATATACTGAACTGTTATGTATGGCAGCAAATTTTGGACAGTCTCCTCACAGATGCAAAAGAAACTTGAGGAAACAGACATGTGGTTCTATAGAGGGATACTGAGAATGCCATGGAGTAAATATGTGAGTAATGATAATACAAACAAAAAGAACACTTATACTTAGATTCAGAAAGAGACAATTGAAATTTCTAGGGTACATAATGAGGAAAGAGGGCTTGGAGAACTTGACATTCATGGGGCATATTGAAGCTAAGAGAGACAGAGGAAAGCAGTTAATAACCTAACAAGCTAATTAATGTAAATGTGAAGAAAAGTTTTCCTTTTCAATTTATTGATACTGTCTTTTTACAGATATATATTTTATTTACATCTGGAATTTTACACACACACACGCAAACTTATTTATATATAGTGCATTACGACGAATGTTGTATTGAGTGGGTGCATATGTTTATATTGATATATTTTTGACAAAATAGTGTAAAGACTATATTGAATCCATTGTTAGGTTTGTTGCTAAGAAAGTTGGTTTACTGTGTCATACTAGACAATTTTTCTCTCCAGAATTTATCTTACATATCTGTAAGTCTACCATTCATCCATACTTACAATAGTACTGCAACATATGGTCTCATGTTCCTGCTATATACCTAGAGATTCTTGATAAAATCTAAAGAAGAATCCGCAATATAATTGGCCCTGACCTGGCATCTCAGCTTCAATCACTTTCCCACTGCCATAAAGTTGCTTTCCTGTGCCTTTGCTCTAAATACTTTCATGGTAATTGTTCAGATGAGCTCTTCACTGTGGTATCTAGATTGGCAACATGGTCTCATCAATTTACAGTTGAATTGGCTAGATGTAACTATAAGTTCTATGCTAACAGTTTTTTTTCTCACACTTCTCATTTGTAAAACTTTCTTCTAGCTCCATGCTTTCCAGTTAGCTAACTTTGATCTTCAAAAATTTAAATGCAATGTCAATTGTCATCTATTGTGTTCCTGATTACTCTTTTATTGTTGTCATTAGTAATTTTTTCTCTTTTCTAATTATTTCACACCCACCAAGCCCCAGTGTCTTAGAGGCTTTACTGCATTGCTTGGGGTAAATCCAATTTAAAAAAACAAACAGCGAAGATGTCTAACAAAACATGTTGACCAGCAAGTTACTTTAGGCTTACATGCTCATGGTGAGCAGAGTTTTGCAAATAAAGTGCCCAATATAAAAAAAAAAAATAGAGCAAGAATAGTAAATGGATAAATGAAAGTTCAAATGATTTAATCTTCTGACTTGAAGTTTCACAGAAGCACTGTTCTGCTTGTCAATGTAAGATGCATCTAGTGAATTCAATAGATTTATTTTACCCTGACAAGTGAGATGGCATTTCTGTGACACTTTATTTGAACTTCAATTTATCATTTTCTCTCCAATATATATATATATATATATATATATATATATATATATACACAGTCTGGTGATCCTGCTTAATATATTTAGAGATTCTTGATAAAATTCTAAAAAGAATCTGCATTGTTATTGGTTCTGACCTGGCATCTCGGCTTCAATCACTTTCACACCACTGTAACATAGTTTCCTCTGCCTTTTCTATAAATATTTTCATGCTAATTATTCTGATGAAATTTCCTCTATGGTACCTAAACTTCATGTCTCTAAGTGCAATACTAGATTGGCAGCATGGCTAGATATAACCATAATTTCTACGTTACCAACTTCTGTTGCACTTCTCACTTGTGGAACTCTCTTCTGGCTTCTTGCTTCCCAGTCAAGTTTGATCTTCAAGAATCTGAATGCATTTCAATCATTGTCTTCTGCCTTCTTAGTTCTTGTTGTTATTTTGCTGTCCTCTCTCTTTAATAGTATAGTAACTCCTTGTGTCTTGCTTGGAGTAAAATTATATATATATATATTTGCTTGCTGACTCTCTTGGATTTAACAAAATACAGTAAAAACTTGATTTAAAGGACCAATTGGGGAGAGAGTGTGATTCTTAAGTCATTCCTTAAATCCGATAAATTCTTTATTTCATCAAGAAAAAGCAAGTTCTGTAAATTATCACCTTTAATGAACATTGTTTTGTTAAATTCGAAAGATAGTCAACACACAAATGACCAATACTATGTAAAACTCAGGCATGTATTTTCCATTAAACAAAATAAGTACATGCTTAGGGCATCAAAAAAAAAAAGACACAAAAGAAATTGTTATGATACGATGAATATGATTAACATCTGAATATGGTGGCCACCTTTATGGATGGGGAGACAACTGACCCACCACAAATCTTTATTGAGTTAATAAGGGAATGGGCTAAGGGAGATAACAAGGTTTGTATTTACTCAATACCTCACATCTCTCCTCTTAAATAAGTTCGTATTCCTAATTAACTTTATGGGATTTAATTTTTGTGAACAATTACTTAGAGAACTCATTTACAATAAGCAAGCAATCTTGGCTAAAAATTAAACAACCCCAAACATTGAGAGGGGTGTCTCTCTCACTTTCTCACTCTTCATGTCCTTTGTAGTTCTTAGTTAAGTTAGGTAGGTTATTCACTGCTTTCCTCTGTCTTGCTTACCTTCAGTATGTCCTGTAAGTGTCAAATTCTCCAAGCCCTCTTTCCTCATTATATGCCCTAGAAATTTCAATTGTCTCTTTCTGATTCTATATATAAGTATTCTTTTTGTTTGTATTTTCATTACTGAGATATTTACTCCGTGCTATTCTGTAGAACCACATTTTGTTCCTTTAAGTTTCTTTTCTATCTGTGAGGAGATTGTCCAGCATTTGCTGCCATATAAGAGAACCAATATTACATAAGAGTTCAGTATATAATATTGCTTCTCCTATATAGCGGTGGCACACAGTTACTAAATAGCCTTTGTTATTTATAGTGAAAACTGTATTTAAAAATAGTTGAAATCTGCAAGAATTTTAATTTTATGTTAAATTTATAGTCAACATGGTTGACATGTACCTAAGTGACCTAACAATGAATGATTTGTTCAAGACTGTATTTAATTTCATTCAGTAAAAATAAAAAGTGAGTTTGTTATGGCCCATGTGATCCATGATTGGTTTCTTAAATTTGATATTCTTTAAATCGAGGGACATTAAATCAAAGTTTTACTGTATATATATATTGTATATAAACAGCAAATATATGAATACCTTTTTTTTATCTGCATAGGGAATAACACCTTCATCACTTTTCGCCCTTCTAAAGTAAAGAAGACCAGTGAACCAGATTATATACATGTGGTGAATTCCTTGACTGATGTTATTCGAAAGTTCAAGATTGACATGGAAAATGATGCCAGACAAGCTGACTGCCATATCACCTGTGCAATTACAGGCATCACCAAAGTAAGTCATGTAAAATTCCAAGCTCAAGTTGTTTTTAGCAATAACTGTTCATATTATTCACATTTGGGCTATTATCCTCATCTTTGTTGTTGAACAACAAAGATGAGGATAATAGTCCAAATGTAAATAGTGTAAATGATAACTCCTCATCCCAGAAATTCAGACAGAAACTGTTCAGATGTTTGTACAAATTAGATACTGTAAACAATGGCAACAAGGGATAGGTACATAGACCAGAAGAAAGCCAACAATTTCAGCAAAGTTTTGCATCAAGTATCATTGCTCAATCCAGCAGGGTTATTGTGTTCCATGTTTCTGTTGAGTTGATACTTGATGCAAAACTTTGCTGAAATTGTTGGCTTTCTTCTGGTCTATGTACCTATCCCTTGTTGCCAGTGTTTACAGTATATACTGCTCCAAGAAAATCTTTTTTTTATTTTTTTTTAATTTCTTCTTTGTTCATAGTCAACCCACCTATGCCTATGCATTTTCAAGGTACTCTTCATTCTGAGGTTTGACAACATCACAGCATTGCTAAGAATATAGTTTTTCACGCACGTTGCTTTTGTCTGCGGTGAAGCACATAACTTGCTAACTGTTCTCACATCCACTGTATGGTCTCCAAAAAGATACTTGGCAAGTGTTGATAAATGTCAGTGGACACAATTTTTTCTGCATAAGAGAATTCAGTGATATACCTCTGCTTCATACACCCTCTTATGTCAGATTTAATTTTACCAGACTGTAACAAGGAAAATGAATTATTGATGGGAAAACTCAACTTCTACTGCCATAACACTAACATCCACCTGATATGGTAGGCCAGCAGGTATTACTTTTGGAGCAAGGTTTACTGATTACTGTCCACTGATTTTATCACTACTCTTTGCTTCTTTAGTCATTTTCTGTACTAACAAAGTAAATATTTCTTGTGGTAAGGAAAACAAAATTGATATGCCAATTTTTTTTTTTTTATTTGTTTTATCTACATGTTGTACATGTTGTACCTTGAATGTGAGGAACAAAAGTGTTAGTGGTCATAAATAAATAAAAGTGTTACTGACAGAATAGTGCTATGATATGAATGATTTTAGTTTGGAGTGTAAATAACTTCCTAATAATCATCTTAGTAAGATGGCTGGTCTGTTTTCCAATGTGCTAAGGAACTAAAATGCTTTTATGCCAAACTTCTCTGGAGATATAGAGAAATGGAGAGTTGAATCTTTTCTTTTGGGACATGAGGCAAAAAAAAAAAATTTGAGACACAAAACAAGTTTTGGATTGTTTTATGTTGAACCAATCAGGTTACTCCAATATAATGTATAATTGATAAGTAACTAAGAAACATAGGTAGTCATAAACTTATATATACACATTCTTTGTATATATGGTTGTCCATCAAAATGCATTCATATCCTGAAAGTCCTTCTTGATAACATGTGCTACATAGTCCTCACTAACAATGACCAATGTGAACTATTCCAAGTCTGATCTGGAGTGAAACAAGGATGTGTCATCGCTCCAACTTTATTTGCCATCTTTATTGCAGCAGTGAGTTTTTTTCTTTTAGATTTAGTATGGGCAAAACAAATTCATGAATTTGGGCAAAAAACGACCCCAGAATGACATCAAAATATGCAAAAAATGTTCATCCTTTAATAGTCAGCTCTGCTTAGTTTAATTTGTAATATATATATAAGTGTAGGTAGAAAAAATAGCAAATGTTAATAAGATAGCAAGGACCATAATGCACTGCATAGGACCCAAATCAGGCTTGGGTACTCCCAGGCTGGTGGGTAGTATGTGCTAGTTCTGGTAGTGAATCAAATAGACTGCTTCAAAAACTGCTGTCTTTTTCTACCAAGGGCTAGTAGCAAACTAACCTTTTCAGTGAATGAAACTTCTTGACATTTTAAGATGTTCTATTCATTCCTTCACAGAATGATAATGAGGAAAGGTTTTGTGTATGATCAATAAAAGAAAAGGAAGTGAAATAATGTCACAGCATGGATAAAAAAATACATGAATCCTACTTCCAGTATACTAGGTTACACCTGGCATGGTCTGAGGGTAGTTAGGTAACACTTGAGACATCTTAAAAGCTACTTCTGTCTTCTCCTCTCATGACAGACTTACTGACTAGATTGTCCCCTCATCCAATGGGAATTCCAACTGCTTCCAACTCTATATCTCACTTAATCTACTCATCTTTTCCTTATCACTCTGACTACCAGTGACTCTACATTTCTATTAATAGCTTCTTACCATCGTCCCTCTGACTACTCTATCATCGGCCATTCTAGAATGCATCTTGACTATAAAAGCCATCACTGGAGTTCCCTGCCTTACTGCCATGTGGCCTTTGATCCCAAAAGATTTCACTTATTTAGATAGATATTTTATTTCCTTTTTCCTTACTTATAGACAGTGAGTGGTTGCTTTGAAATTCTCTTGTAGATTTTACCATTGACACCATTGGTTCTCAACCTTTTCTAACTAATGGACCATTTTTACTCTTAGTTTTTTTTTGGAGAACTCCCAATAACTATTTGATGAAAAAAAGCTTATTTTACTTTTTACTAATCAATAAGTTTAGGAATTGTGTTATAGAAGTAGTAAATGTATATTCTTTATTTTGAAGTAAAACTAATTTAATGAAAATAAACTTGTATTTAACAACTAAATTTCTATGAAGCATTTATGTACACAAGTAAAATACTTCATAATAAACTATTTTAAAATATGTGAGTAACTAATAGATGAAAAAAAGTTCAGATTTATTCAATGAGATCCCTGTGGTTGATGTTGCTCTGCAAGTTTTTTATATTCAATTCCATTGATGTCAATGACAGTCAAAGATCACCCCTTTTCATATTGTGGAGTCTATTACTTTATTAATTAATCTATATTAATATATTAATATTTTATTTTATTAATATTTAAAATTAATATTATTATTTATTGTTAATATATTAAATCAATATAAATAAATTATATTTTTTATATAATCCTTCCTTTACATATCCTTCTCAGTTTTTATTCAACTTTTACAATCAAAATATCCAGTAGAGTAAAAGGGATGCTAAAACTTACATCGCTTGATCTTGTTTTCTGCTAGTTTAAGTTGTTTTTCTATTTTTAGTATTTTAATATAGAGTAGATTACAGTAGATTCTCAGTTGTAACAACTGTTCCAAAGTGAAATTGCTGTATGGACCACTAAAATATTACCATGGACCCCCAATTTGCTATTTTTTTGTATGGACTTCCAGTAGTCCACTTTACTATGTCGGTGACTTGATTATGGCTGGGGAATTATTATGTCATAATGTTACTTATAATTTACAGTCTTGTTTTTCTTATAGTTGATTGAGTGATTGATTCATTCATTTTTAAGGCTTATCAACTTTTTGGCAGGTTATTTAAAGCCAAAAAATAATTTTAGATTGTAAGAATTTTTTAGAGATAATAATGATTTACTGATACAAGTACTATGAATTCACCCATAGCTGGGGGAAGAAGAGATGGATTCATACCTTTCCCAAGTGTATTTGCAAGTAAGTGAATATAATAAACCTGACTGAAATTGGAACTTGGCTCACCAATTTCCAATTCCAAGCCATTATCCATTTCACCACCTTCACATCTAAGCTTACAGTACCTGGTATTCCCAAGTGATCACCCATCTAGGTACTGACCATGCTCAATGTTACTTAACTTTGGTGATTGTATGTCATATGGCCATAAGTCTTTCTGATAGTTGAGTTACAATGATGACACTCATTGCTATGAAAAAGTTAGTTTTTGTTTTTAATTTTTTTAAATGTAATGAGTTAAATTTTGTTATTTGTGAGATTTCTTCAGATAATTTTATGAATATCTAAATGGTTTTTAACTTATTTTTTATTTTTACCTTGTGTTCATAATTAAACAGAAGTTAAATTGATATTTATATCTTTTAAGTTTTTATAAATACTTATTCTGTGGAAACCATAACACAAATTTTAGTCATCCTTCTGGCTTAACCTTTAACACTGTCAGTTTCATTCAAGATTGTTATTTGTTACCCTAGCAGGACATGACAACACAACCACAAAATTCAAGTACATTATCATTCAGTGATCAATGTCATATACAAAGCACCAAAAATTAAAAGCTACACCTTTTCTACTTAGACTCTTCTAAACTCTAAACTTTTTGTTTTTATTTCTTGCTTTTCAGGCTTTTGTTGCTGACCAAAGAAGCCAGACCCATGAAACTTCTGAAGCACAGGCCCAGCTAACAAGAAATAGTCCATCATCACAATATTCTTCTCGAGCAAGGCATAGGATGTATTTCTGCAGCCACCAGCCTATAAAAACTGAAAAGTTACAAGAAATATTAGAAAGAGGTTTCACAAATGAAGGTAAAGCAATTCTTTTATAAATGTATAAATCATGATGATCATTATTCTAATGTGTGCTTTAATTATATATATTTCAGCATACAGAACAGTGGTTTAGCTAAAGTGTGTGCTGCCCTTGAGTCTACCATCCCTACCACTACCCCCCATAAGATACAACATATTGCACATTAACTCTCTCTCTCTCTCTATATATATATATATATATGTATAGAGTTATTCAAAAAGAAAGATCAGATTTTGAAAATTTAATAAAAACAAATGCTAAGAGATAGAAACACATTCAACACATTAGTGAACAGTAAAAAGTTCAAAATTCATTTATTTAATTGTAGTACACATAATGACTTTTCTTGTGGTGTGGCCATTTTAAGGATTCACACAAAGTATAACAATTTAAATTTATACAAAATCTGAGAAAAAAAAAACAATAAAAAGAAGCATTTAAACGAGATCAAAAAAAATTTCATTATTTTAATAACTTTAAGCCTTTTCCTTTTTAGTAATTGTTGAGTGTGTTTCTGTCTCTAAGCATTTGTCTTTTATTAAATATATATATGCAAAGGAAAGTTAAAAATGATCTACATTCTTATGCTATATGTTATGCAAAGGTGTAGATAATTTTCTGACCCTTGTATATATATATATATATATATATATATATATATATATATACAGGGTGGGATGGATAAAATTTTCTTCTAAATTATGCAAAAATGAAAATAATACTGACATCTCATTTTAATAGATATATTTACCAAAATTACACAAAAATATATTGAAATACTAAAGATAAATTTATTCAATAAAAGTACCATTGGCTTCAGCCATGGCTTCCAGATGACTTCAGAATCTCCTGCAACTCATCTGGACAGTCTCTTTTTTAATTTGGTGAATGCTGCCATAATTCTTGCTTTCATTTCATCTTTGATGTTACAAGGAGTTTTGTTGGTCTAACACTTAACTGCATTCCAAATATAATAATCAAGGGGGTTGCAGTCTGAGTAGTTAGATGGCCAGATGTAAGGGCTGATGTGAGCACAGATATTGTCTGACAGCCATGACTGGGGTCTCTTGCCTGTGTGGTATAGTGCAGAATCCTGTTGCCAGACATAGGGTCTTCCAGTAGTCATCCTCTTGACCCAGGGCAGCACTACCTCCTCAAGGCACTTGATGTAAGTCTACATGTTGAATCTGAGGCCCTGCAGGAATCACCATTAGACTTATCCAACTTTTTGTGATTCCTCTGCACTGTCCTCAGATTGACATCCGAAAACACTAAATTGTTCATACTAGAGTTTCTGGCACAAATGCAAAATGTTTCCAAATTTCTGGCTGAGTGAATTGCATCATTTTTCTCACAGATGCTACACTGTTCAGTCCACAAAATCAAAAACAAACAATGCACATGCACAAAATTAAAAATATAAAATGATGACAATTTACACCATATACCTGTAAACCATACTATGGCCTGACAAAAGCCTCATCAGTGAAACAGGGGAGTTGGAATTGTTCTGAGGCCACCATCAATTGTTATGCCAGCATGAAGTTACAAGTTATCATGAACAAGACTTTGAGTATAATGGCCTTGTTCAAACTGTTGATAATAACAAATAACATTCTCAAAGAAACTGTAACTTAGGTCAACTTAAGTCAGCATAATTGCAGTATAAACCACAGTTGGGATCTGCTGGTGTTAAATGAACACAAATGTGCCTGAACAGGCAACTGCAATAGGGATTGGTTAGCTGCCCTAGCAGCCAGGTTTACTTGGAAAACAAGTATCCAGACATTATATATATATTTTTCATTGAATAATTCAGACAAGCTTTGTCTACTTATTTTCAATTGGATCCTTTCATATTCACAGACAAACCGTTTTGTGCCATTATTAAAGGAATAGAGAAAATTACCATGTTGATGCATATTAATATATTCAGAGTACTTTTGACATTAACACAATGTCATCATCAAGGTGTTGTTTGTTTCAAGTCAAATATTGAAAAATGCTGAGGGGATGTGCTGTACAATTTAGCTTCATGTAAAGCGTAGGGGAGGTAACTAAGTTATGGTGTTGCCAAGAGTTTTTCACTTGTAAAAAAGTTTTAACTTTCAAATGAACATAGCAATTTTGTCTTTGGAAATAATGAACACTACAATGTTTGACTTGAAAGAAGCAACAAGGTGTTATTATTAAAGGAATAGAGAAAATTACCATGTTGATACATACTCATTTATTCCAAATACTTTCAACATTAGCACAATGTCATCATCAGGGTGTTGTTTATTTCAAGTCAATATATATATATATCACAACTGATTTTCATGCATGATGCAAGCCTCAGGTGCTGAGTATGAACTGACCATTACACAATTTGAATCATAATAAATCTGGTTATCACAATGTTGATCTAGATATATATTATACTGTGATTACAGTTTTTAACTTTAAAATTTTAAAATTATATTTGGCAATTAAAATAAGCAAAATTTATATATGTATGTACAAAAAAAAATTAAAAATTATAATATAATGGCAAATATTCATATTTTAATTTTTTGAAAATTTTTAATTAAAGGGAGTTTACTTGTTCTTATTTAAACTAAAAACAAATTTGTATTCAAATAAGTAAATAATTAAATAGTGCTTTGCATTAAAAAGTAAAAATTAAGAATTAAAAATTTAAAAATAAAATTAAAAAATTAATCAGGATTAATGTATTTAAGCAAATATTTATTTTTATGTCTACATGTAACCATCACTTCATTTCTTTTGTTTAATAAGGTAGGGTTATTTAAGTGTTTTAAGATAACCAATTTTTCAACTAGGCATAGATTGCATTTGTTTCCTTTACCGTTATAAACCTTAGCCTTGGATATAATTTCCCAGTTGATTGATGGTGAGATGCCTTTATTCTTTAATTGGAGAGACCAGTGCTGTTTTGGTATTTCAAATTATTTAAGATCATTCAGAGACAGTAAAAATGAAATTTCCAAGGATTTTCTGCAGAACCAAAATAAAATTTAACATCGTTACCAGAATGTATGTTCACTTGAGATACAATATTATCAGCCATAGATTGATCGCTTAAGGAACAGATCATTTTTTCCAGTGGTTGCATTTATTTACAGAGGAATTTATGTTTCCTTTGTTGGAAATATGTTTCTTTAATATAATGTTGTTATGATGAGAGTTGGATGTATCTATGTTATTAATGCAGCTATAGCTGATCTTAACATTGTTTTTGTAAAAATCTTAGTGTTGGTGAATGGCGTGAAAGTGTTTATGAATTATATTTAGAAAACTTCTGGTGATATTAGTTTTGACATTACAGTTAAAAGGTGGATTAAACCATATAATGTTGCATTTATGGTGTTTCTATTTGTTTCTACCTTTTTTGTGTATTTCTAAATACTCTAAATTTACTTTATGAAGCATAGTTCTAAAGCCTGTATATATTTAATTTTATTATTATCAAATATTTCCTTATTGCTGGAGTTTGTGGATAATCTAACTTGGACTGATTTATATAAATTATCTAGAATTTTACGATGGTGGTTTGATTCTTTACTGATGTATCTATGGTTATATAGATCCTTTGTGTATGATTTATAATTACCATTATTCAAATATAAAGTTACATAGAGAAAGTTGATCACTTTAGCATTGATGGTGGTAGTAATATTTAGTTTGTGATCTTTAAAAATTTTATTAGCTTCTTTCTCAATTGTTCTATCTTTTGTGGATGAGTTTTACAGAGGAGAATGACAAAAAAAGTAACTCAGAATTTAGTATTGCTATGGGAGTGTCTGACTCAGCAGAGGCGTGTGAATTAGTCATAATTCTATTATTATGGCAACTTAGATTTATTTTTAACCTCAAGGACACCAGACTCTATAGAGATGATTGTGTCATTCTCCTCCTTCTAGCTAGTGGTGAGGGATAATATGTATATTTATTAATATATACTTAATAGCTGTCAGATTACATTGAGCTCTGTTTTCTTAATACCAGCACTATATGTGTGATATGTTATAATTATATTTATAATAAAAAAAATGTTTGGAAAAAAAAATCACAAAATATTAAAAACATATTAATCTTACTTATTATAAAACGCAGATTGTGTGTGTGTGTGTGTGTGTGTGTGTGTGTGCCAATGTTTACATATTGGATCAGATTTCCTACATTTTTCAACCGATTTCAACAAAACTTCACAGAACTACGTAAAATTACCTTGCGGTGGTTCTGACAGTGCCAAAAATTGGAAAAACACAATTGTTTTTGCATGAAATCAATTTGAAAACATGATTAAGAAGCATTAATGAAAGGGGGACAACTCATATCGAGTTATACTTATTATAAAACCCAGGTTGGTTGATTGTGTGTGTGTGTTCATTTATATATGGGATCGGATTTCCTACATTTTTCAACCGATTTCAACAAAACTTCACTTTTTTTTGCAGGTAGTGTTTCTTATTGTCTTGCACACTTTTTTCTTTATTTTTTTACATTCAGAATGCTTTAAAATTCCATTTACAAAACAATTGTCTATAATAAAATTCTATTCAATTGGTAGACTCATAATGATTGAAAACAATGTTTTTTGTTTTGAGTTTGGGTTTGACCAATTCGTTAAAAAAAAAAAACTAATTAAGACATGCGTGTCCGTCAACCTTAAACAATAATCTTTGTCAATTTTATTTTTCAGTCTTTATGATGGTCGATACTTGATCTATCTCTTACTGTTACATCCCTGGGTAATGCTGGGCTCTACTGCTAGTAATTAATAAAATGACAAATTCATGAAGTAGATTAAAAACAATAAAAGTTATTAGCATGTTTCAAATGCCTGTTTAATGTGATGGCTACTTCAGTAATTAGTGTGTAAGGTTTCTTACAAGAATATTTTATAATACATAGTAAAAGAGTACATGCATAAAATAACAGAAACCAATCGATTTGCAATGCAAGATAACATTTAAGTAAAACAACAAATGGAAAGTTTAAGAATTTATTTTCCTAGTAGTAAATTGCATGGACAATGAAAATTGTTAATGAATGTATTTAAGAGTGACTTGCTTGTGTAAGTGTTTTTTCTGTATGAAGCATCTCCAGCCCTTTTTTGCTTCAGTATGAAATGTTGATAGTATACATACTTTGAAAGAAGGAACAGAGAGCTACTTAAGGCTTCACTTGTTTTTATACCTCCAGGGTGGCTGCTGATACTGTTTATTAATGGCTGCTGCTGATACTGTTTATTAAGGGTTGCTGCTGATACTGTTTATTAAGGGTTGCTGCTGATACTGTTTATTAAGGGCTGCTGCTGATACTGTTTATTAAGGGTTGCTGCTGATACTGTTTATTAAAGGCTGCTGCTTCTGATACTATATTTATTAAGGCACTACACCTGCTTCTTGTCATTTTATTTAATGTTTGTTTAAATGGACACAATATCACAGCTATCCATTGTAATTCTGTATTTTGAAATTTGGATTTCAGTATTCATTTTTTATAACCAATCAAAAAGGAATATGACTATCCAATCAATGGACAGCATATCAAAGTATTTTTGTGGGGGAACTAATCCAAGAAGGCATAAATTCCCATAACTCTTGAAAACTATCAGTTAGTGCTCTTCAGATCAGACAATGCAAAATACATTTTATATCCTGTCCTTCTGTGCTTTCATGCTTTACAAATGGGAAACTTGTATTTTAACTTTCTTTTAATTTTGTAATATACAGAGCTGCAAACAAAGGCAGAAATTTTTATGTCTCTTGGGCATTATGCTTGCCTGAATTTCCATTATGGATAAACAATGCTTCATGTTGCCTGGTGATAGCCAGAAAACTGAAAAAAAAAAACAGTCTAGAACTACCTCCCATCCCACAAACATCCCTCATATCTACATCCTTAAACATTCCATCAAAAACCAAAACAAATTCAGATAAATGTTTTTCTTTTATTTGTATTTCCTTTGAAAGAATAAAACATGGCAGCCAGAGTAATGTCCCAGAGTGTTTTTTCATAATTATAAAAAATAAATACCATTACAAAGCAGTTTTTATGCCCTGTTGATATGGAGATATGCAAAAGATAGATAATCAAAAAGGAACTGGCTTTGTCTAACACTTTGGTTTCAAGGCTACAGTCATTGTTGCAGGCAGTCACGAGAGATATGTGGCTAAAATTAAAACAAACATTTTTCATTGTATAAAGGAAATTCTTGTCATTTTAATGTAAAAAAATGCAAAGTTGGAGCATAATCCATCCCACATTGTGTTCAGGCATAAAACAGACTGTCACCACATGGTGTTGACATCAGTATCCACACTTCTTACATTTGCAAATGCTCTATCCCAGATATATTTAGCACTTTTACCCTATAAATATAGCATACCTTAAAACCCTATCATATTTATAGATATATATATTTGGAGAAATTGTATGACAAAGTAAAAAAGTTTACTTATGACACATTTCATCCTTCAGGACTTCATTGGACTAAATTTGTTATGTTAGTAGGACTATACACATGTGTATGACAGTGGGATGCTGGGAATTTTAGAATTCTTACAATCTAAAAATATTTCATACAATCTAAAAATATTTCCTGGCTTTAAATAACCTGCAAAGGATTGATAAGCTGTAGAAAATGAATTAATTAATCAATTTTTAATTATAAATAAATCCAAATGCTATAAGCCAAAAAATCATATATTTGATGAACACAATATCCTATATATGTGAATAAATTATTATTTTATTATGGGATCCTTGACAGCTCACAATTTTCATCAGTATTTCATTTACTGGTTTTGTTAACTTTCTTATTGTTTCAACTCTAATGTTAAAGTGCAGTAGTTTTTTATTGCATCCCAGAGATTGTATTTGCTTGAATATTGTTTTCCATTTTTATATACATCTCTTTGATAATAGATCACAAGTTTATTATTGATATTTATTTATGATTGATATATGAAGATTATCAGGGCTATTGTATTAATTTGGTATCTTTTAAACTATTTTTAGCAAAGTGGGCAATAGTCTTTTTTACAGAACATGTCTTGCATGAATATACTCTTCAGCTTCTTGGTTTTAACCTGTATTACTCAAAAAACATCTTATTCCAGAAGTTGCAGTAACTCTTGGCATTTATCCTGATACCATTATTATATTTAAAAGGATCTATAATTTTACTAGCCCAAAATATTACTCTACCTCCCCACTGTCATCTTCACATTCATGTTAGTTGACAATTTCTCTGAATGAGTCTCTTATCTAGGTATCATGTCCATCCAATGTAGCTCTATATTCATTAATAAAAATTACTTTTGAGAAATTAATGTTCATGTACTTCTTTGTCTAACTTGCACATTTTATTTTGTCATGTTTACTTAAAGGTTATAGTTTGGTTGATTATTTAGCTTAAGCCAATGTTCTGAATATTCTGCATCTTTTCTCTGTTTATATTTGCAACATCAGCTTCTTCAAATATTTTCTTGTTGGCCAATCCACTTTTCTTGCTTATTTCTTAATTTTTCTCAAATCTCCTTTTGTAACATTCTGAAAGCCAGTTTTTTTCTTATCCCCATCTGACCAGTGTTTTCAATGTTCTGTTCAAATTCTTCACAATCTCCAATATTTTGTTCTAATCAGTCTTTCTGGTCCTCATCTTACTATTGTTTTCAATTCTTTGTTCAAATTTTTCACAATTTCCAATGTTGCATTCCAATTACTCAATAACTTTACAAAATCTTGTTTGTTTAACCTCAAAGGTTATGGCATTCTTACAACCTGTGGCAATCTTTATATATTTGAAATTAAAAAATAAATATCAATGACTATATTGTAAATATTTGTTTACAATATGATGAAAAACACTTGAGCAGCATAACAAAATGTCACACCACCAAATAACTTAAGGAAAAAGATATTATCATGTAAATTTATTCTGAAACTTTTACTGACAGCCATTGCTTAATAAAATCTGATATTGTGTATCTAAATTGACTCAACAATTATTGAATAGATAGTATTATTTAAGAAAAAATAATTTCTATTTTTTTTATTTATTTTTTTTTAATTGGGTTTATCCCAAGCAAGGTGTAAAGCCACTAGGACACAAGGGGTTACTGGGCGTGGAAGAATTATAAAACAGAAACTTTACTCAGGAGCAAGAACAAAGAGTAATCAAGAGGACAGTAGAAAGCATTTAAATTTTTGAAGATTAAATTTGGCTGGAAAACATGGAGCCAAAAGAGAGTTCCATAAGTGAAAAAGAAACTTATGGCTAAATCTAGCCAACTCAATTGGATATTGGTAAGACCTTGTCACCAATCTAGTACTGCACTTAAATTGATAAAGTCTAAACCCTGGATTTCATCTGAACAGTTGTTATGGAAGTATTTATAGAAAAGAAACAGGGAGACAACTTTATAGAGGTGGGAAAGTGACTGAAGCTGAGAGGCCAGATCAGGACTAATAATATTGCTGATTCCTCTTTGGATTTTATCAAAGATCTCTAGATATATGGTGAGAACACATGACCATATGTCACAGCAATATTTTAAGCATGGTCAAATAGTAGTCTTATAGATATGTAAGACAGATTCAGAAGAGAAAGATTGTCTAGCATAACACAGTGAACCAGCTTTCTTAGCAGCTTAGTCCTAAGTATGACAATAAACTACATCCAGCGGTAAGACCTCTGTTCAGAAGACTGGAGGTTTTGGGGAGCATGAAACCACCTCTTAATTGCTGTTGTTTTCAGGTCTGCTCTGACCCAGGGGTGGTAGCACCTGTTAGGTCCATGGGCAAATAGTGGACCTCCAAACAAAAAGAAAACATTATGAAAATATAAAAATACATTTTTATATTAAAAAAATATACCAACAATACATATTTATAGCAAAATTACCAGCAATATCTATTTATAGTATATACTAGCAGCATAACCCGGCGTTGTCTGTGCTTGATTCAAAAATCATACGACTCATACAGCAATCGCTATCACTTGATTTAAAATATTTTTGCCCTTCCTTGCCTTTAAAGGAGTGCCCTTTGCTGTGCTGATGTTGCTACATGCCTTACTTCTTGCCTATCTCACACTGCAAATTTTTTCTAAGCTCTATACTAAACATTAAATCTGTTACGAAAAAAGAACTAAACAAAATGAACACAAAACGATCAGCTTTAAAAAAGGACTCATAACTGGAAAAACCAAATGAAAAAAGAATGTTAACAACAAATACTTTTTCACACCCAACCCAGTTCTGCGGAATCAGAATCAACGTTGAGTTTAAGCAAGCGAATGAGCCAATTCAAGTAAAGTGCCATGCAGATTTAAATTTTTCCCACTTGTGACGAATGCAGCTATCAATTTTTTTGCATGCTAGCATGCTAGTTAACAATTGTGTCAGTCAGCTGTTCGCTCTCATGCTGGCCAATAGAATCTTCCTGCCTATTCGTGGCAGCCAGCTATAGGCTCTCATTCTGGACAGTACAAAATGGCCAAAAACTACATGAAAAGTGCTGTAGAAGAATGAAAAAATCAATTATTTCCACTATCGAAGGGAGTTGGGAAATACAAGGTTGGTCTTGGCCTTCCCACTAACTTGGAGCATGTGCATGTAAATTTTGGTGCAAATCTGTTGAAAATTGCGGTCATGTATTCGTTACACACACACACAGATAGAGATTTAGTTGAAACTATAAAATTGTGTTCAAAATATTTAGAGTTCAGCATTAAATAACCCATAGAGGTTATTATAGTATGAAACAAAATCAACCAACCAATCTTAGTAGCCGACCTAGCAATGGACTCAATATATTCTTTTCACTTTATGTCAGCTGAGAACATTAGCCTTAAGAAGGTGTAATGAGCCACTCTCCTTTGAAATTTCTATATTATATTTCTTCTAACTTCTACATTTCTATAATATTTTGTTTTTCTGCTTGTTTTCTCAACAGATTTCAGCATTGGAGATTTAGGAGAAGGCTTACATTTTTGCAGGAGTCCATTTACGGCTGCCCATTTTTCTGTGGTGAGTTTTGAATCAAATATTTATTTCCTCACATGATGTCAATTCAAAATGGGAAAGAGTTGAGCCACATCTTGATGAAATGATTTTTTTTTACATCAATGAAATTAATTATAAAATAGAAATAATAGTAGTTGCCATTAGGTAATATGTTTAGTATTAAGGACGTACAAAGATACTCAGTCATTGAAAACAACTGTCTCAGAGTCGTGACTTGAAAAAAGTAGAAAAGATAAAATTAAAATTTCCGCCATAAGGAAAAAAACTTGATCCTTGATAAAATACAAAGAAGAATCTGCAATGTTATTGGTCTTGATCTGGCATCTCAGCTTCAGTCACTGTCTCATTGCTGTAACGTAGCTTCCCTGTGGCTTTTCTATAAATACTCAGATGGTAACTCTTCTGCTGTGTTCACACACACACACACACACACACACACACACACACACACACACACACACACACACACACACACACACTTTCTCTCTCTCTCTCTCTCTCTCTCTCTCTCTCTATCTATCTAAATAACTTCAGCTACATAGAAAGTGAGCTTTGTATGCATACATTTATATATAAATTGTTAAATACAAGTACTTGAAGTCTCACACACATACACACACGCACACACAGAAGAACAACAAACTCAGCTATATATATACAATGGGGAGTGAAAAGTTCTCAGCTTCATCAAGCTGACCTTCTCCAGATTAGATTTTGGGAGGTGAGTCAGGTTCAAAGCTTTTCAGCACCTGCTCATATGTAACTTCAAATTTTATTATAGTGGATAATTGTATTTGAAATACAATTGAAATAATAAAATGTTTTCAAAAATGAATATCCATTATAATAATGTTTGAAGTAATAAATATTTTGTTGGAAAAAATAAAGCCATTAATTCTTTAGAAAATTATATATATATATATAGATAGATAGATAATATTAGTGGTTAATATACACATACATATTTATACATATATCTAAAATATATAAATATATATACAGACATACATACATATATATATATATATATATATATATAAAAATAATTCCAAGAGGATAGATTCCAGGTAGAACTCAATGTCCAGGACAGAGTAAGGATATAATAAAAAGACTAGTACTCCATGGTCATAATTTATTACATTGGAATTGTAAATATGATCCAATTCATCAGACCTAAAAATTCAAAAAGAAACAAAAAAATAAAATTTAGTGAGAGTGTATGTATGAGAGTGTGGGACAAATGTGAGAGTGCCCTTTTATAAATGCTCTTCGGTTTTAACTGCCCCTCCCCTATCTTCCTCCCCCACTTTTTTTTTTTCTCTCCCTCTCTCATCTTCTGATCTTTAAGTGTAGATTATATCGTCTATTGTGTGTCACCCCAAAATATATACTCTTTTCCGGTGTCGATATTTAATTTATTTTACGTCAGCAATTCAGAAATGTATTAGACATCCGAGAATATTCATATTTATTTGTATCTCGCTCACTTAAACCATCTTTGACTCCCCTCTTTAAAACTTCTCTCTGTTAAATTTTAATCCCCAACTTCACCTTCAGACCTTCCTGTTCTTCTCTCGTCTGTTACCCCTCCCTATAGCTTTCATTTACTCTCGCATTCGTCCCACACTCTCATACATACACTCTCACTAAATTTTATTTTTTTTATTCCTGGAGTTATTTTTTCTGATTTCT